GCGGTGAAGGTTTGCACCGATGTCCAGACTTCAGCAAAACTTAAATCGGTTTTAATTGGACAAAAAATGAAAAATCAGTCAGAGTTCAGCTTTCCTCCTCTTCATCACTCTTCCTCACCTGGAGCGGTGAGGAAGCGGTTCACAGCAGTGAGGAAGAGGAGCAGGAATTGATTACATAAATAATCCATAAATAAACACTCATCAGGGTCTCAGCTAAGGTAAAGGATCTGCTCCAGCGAGGCGCGGTCCTCCGGCCGGAATGACATACACCAGCCAACCCGAGCCTGGCATTCTGCATGAAGGGATCTACACAGCATCACGCACAACTCAACAGATCAGAGCGGTTTAGAGATACAGACTGTAAACACACTTTTGTGAGAACCACAGTTACCACGGGATATTCAATTCTAGTCTAGTCACTATCTTACCAATTACCCGAAAATAATGCAAATTCTACGGACAGACACTGAATTCTTAAGAAGCTCAAATGTAAACCTCTACGGTTTCTTGGTGCTTTTAACAGATTACAAGTATTTAAATCTGCTGGGGATGTTGTGTGCTGCTATTAAAAATAAAATGTCTAAGACTCAAGGAATGGCTTAACATTATTCTTCCATCAGGAAAAATAACAATTCCTCTCCCAGACAGGAGAAGCAGGAATTACTTTTGCACACAGGGAGTTTCAAAAGTAAGGAGTATCCGGACAGATAAAAATGTTTCAAGGTTGGGTAAAAGCAAACTTTGTTTTTTCACACAGTTAATTCTGTGTTGTTATTGCAAATTGCAAATTCATGTACTCTTACTTATGGAATGAGTTTGCAGAGCAGGCAACTTCTGCCCGTTGAAAACACAATCTTGTTCATCTAGATCAATGAGAGCTGCTTTTGTTTGATGAGCCTAACTTTCTATATTAATATTTAAATATTAATATATGTTTATATGTATTATAAATACTATAATTATAATTGTAATAACATATCCAGAAATCTCATATAAAGCAAGAAAAGATTTCTGACATGCGCAGATAAGTTTGTTTTGCAAATAATTTTTTCACTTCATCAGACAAAAATGTGTTATTTAAATTTTATAACAAGTTCTTTAAGCAAAACTTAGTAGGCTTTTCTCATGGTGACATGCATTAACAATTCAATTTTACCTAGGTTTGTTTTCTCTTTTTTTTCTGCAGTTCCACGTTAAAGTTTGATGCACCTCTGCCTTCTTGAATGGAGATAAGAGCTTGACTTGCAGTCCAACCCATTTCTTTTCAGAAGTACATAGGGGCTTGCAGATAAACAGGTCAGTTTTTTCCAGCACAGGGTAAGTAAATGCAAAAGAAATAGTTTTTCTTTTAAGTTTATAAGGAAAGTGTTTTTAGGGACAAATTGATTCTGTCACAGTTTCAGCTACTTTGAAGATGGACAAAAAAACTCCAAGTATATTAGTGAAATGTGCTAAGTTTTTGTCTAAACGTATGTTTGTTATACACATAATAAACTAAGTGTAAATTCTTTCCGTTTTTCCTTTCATTAAGAACTTATTTTTTCAACCACTTTCTATTTTATTTTTTCTTGTAAATAGAGTTGAGTTTGTATTTGTGTGTTTCTCCTGTAAATCGTCCAGTATGTATATCATGGTGTTGTAAATTTACTTTTTGTGTGTGTTTTTTTTTTGTTTTGTTTTTTTTCTGTTAAAGAATCTTCTTTATTGCAATTCCTTTCTTCCGGTCCTGGACTTCTTAATTTATTTAATTGTCTTAGTTAAACTATTTGGGAGAGCAGTGCTACAAGTTGAATAAATTAATCTTGATAAACATTTTCCATTTTTTATAAGTAAATTTGTCCTAAAATAGAAAGGTCTCGGAGTCATGAGTTAAATTTGGATTTAGATTCTTTAATTTATTTATGTTTTTTTTTCATATTTGATTCTTTGTTTTTGGCTCTAACAGTTCCCTGGTATATAAAAATTAATTTAATTCTTTCTATGGAGATATGAGTTTCATGAACGCATCTGTTAATTAACAGATCTATGTGCACATAGATCTGTTAATTCTCAATTAGTTTCCAGACCATGTGACCCGTTCTGCTCATTTTCAACAGAAAGGAGCGGGGTCAGGGAGGAGGACCAAAGGTTTTTAAAATGGTAAGATTACAGTTTTTTTCAATGCACTTCAAGTTTAGATAGGGACCATTCAGATGTATTTTAAATGCTGTTTAACATACCGATGTGTAAAAAATATTTCAATTGCGTTTCGCTAGAAAGGCTAATGTAAGCTAGCCAATCTACAAAGATAATTACAAGCATGCATCTCTTATTTGTAACTTGTCAGGTAGGGTCTTGCAGAGAATAATTGGAAATAAAATTTAAAATGGCACAACTCAAAAATCACTAGGTTGGAGAAAAAAAATTGAACCTTGCAAACCTCCTGGAGTAGAAATTGTGAAATATTCAATATATTTCAGTCTCCCTGTTTGTGTCACTGAGAGGTTATTAATGTTTGCATGAGCTCTGGGGATTAAAAACAAGTATATTTGTTTGACTTCAGCATAAAGCTGGACTCTCCTGGGATAGCCCTGTTCAGGAAAAAATAATTTCATGTCTTTTACACTGACTAATAGTCACTGCATTTTTGTTTTCGTCCCAGGAGAATGCCAGCACAAACCAGGAGGCCAGTGACGGGCCTGAAGAATCTGCCCCAACTTTGACAGGTGAATTATGCCAGAGAAAGATGTTACCCCAAAATATGTTCGCTACTTTTCATTTTTTTAGCATTATTGTTTCTGGTAAATTAATGAATGTAAATTTCATTTCATTACATTTATAGTTGTTGGCAACCTTTTGCATTCAATTGAAAAAGTCATATTTGAAAGAATTGCCAGAATTATTTAATGTTGCAGCTTTATGTCTAATGACAAATCTAACATTTGTAACCTAGTGATAAGACCCAGAAAATTCAATTTGGTGAAGACTTAGTTGGGTAGATGCAGAATGTCTTAGGCTAGTGTTCAATTTCTTCTTTCTTAATTTCAGCAACCGATGGCAAGGATCCACTTGATCCAGGACAGAGAACGGTATGTGTTGCTATGCAGAAGTCCAAGCCATGTGACAGTTTTTCAGATTCATTCAAGCTATTCATATTGCATTGAATGCTAAGGTGTGTCTCCCTCAAAGACAGCTCCTGTATTAAATCCTGTGCTGATTTAAGTTTTGTTCTACATTTGAGTTTGGAAGTGTTGCTGCCTCTTTTTCTTCACCACAGAATATGTGCAAAGTATCATAATAAGCAGCTGGAGTGTCCAAAGGCTGGGCTCCTGCACATTTTACACGTCACATGCTGAATAACAAACTACTGGAGACGCATTTTATTTTAATCTGGTGTGCTGTAGCAAGCACCAGATGTGCTGCACATCTGGTGTGCAGCACATCTGGTGTGCTTGCTACAGCTGATGCTTGTTGCTGATGCTTTACTTAAAGTTGTACTTAGATGCTTAGTTGTCACTGTGATCAGGTTCCATTTTTGTTTCATTTATGTTTAATTTCACAGATGTGGACATTTACAAAGGCTCTTTTTCTGTGTTTTACAGAGTCAAATGCGTCATGCTCGTCGTATGAGGAAACTCAAAGCCCATCACCAGAGATGTGAGGCTCGTCACCAAAAGGCGATGGAAGCAAATGGAAATCAGGAGGGTCCGTCTGTTCCGAAGAGTTGTGTGGTAAATTTTGTTTCTCTTTTTTTCCTGATTTACATCCCAGAGATAATAACTGTCATGGCATCAGTAAATGTGCCACTGTACTTGCTGCTTGAGCTGTTTTCACATAGCATTGTAAAAATATCAAGACAACCAAATATCTTGTTTCAAATTTCTCCATGCTTGCTGTCACAAATTTAGACGGTCTTAATGTTGCATTTAAAAACAAGTGTATTCAACTTTTAAAGCTTTCATAAAACAATATTGCTGTCAGTTACCCTTTATCTATTTAAACTATACTCCCTCCACTCATCTGTGACCCCTTTTTTTCATCCTTCTTCATTCATACCCATGTTTGATTCTTTTTCTTCCAGATTTTCACATGCCAGAAGAGGAAACCTCCACGGACAATCTTCCCCTCACAAGTTCCCCATGTCTCTCCCCAGATAACCCAGTCCCCACCGTTTGTCTCTACTTCCCTTGTTCTTTCATCCCCTCCTACCCCCACCGAAGTCATAGATCCATGTTTTCTCCCTTCCCCCTGCAAATAAATATTTAAAACAAAATATCTGCGGTGTGGTGGCTCCGTCTTTTTAGATGAGTCTATGCTACTCTGTAATATCTGTCATTAATACAATAATAAAACTAAAATCGATCACAAGTTCAGACTTGCAGGTTTGAAATAAAATTGTGCATTTATCCACTAGATGGACCCATTTCCGGTCTCACCACAGCACGGAGACGGCCCTTGTAAAAGTGTTCAATGACATCCATATAAACACAGACTGTGGGAGAACCACAGTGCTGGTTCTGTTGGACCTCAGTGTTAATCAGGACATTTTACTGAATCGACTGGAGAGTTGGGTCGGACTCTCCGGTCCAGAACTCCACTGGTTTGAATCTTACATAAAGAACAGGGATTTCTTTGTTTCAATCAAAAACTTCTCATCAGAGAGGTCAAAGATCACATGTGGGGTACCCGAAGGTACACACACACACACACACACACACACACACACACACACACACAGACACACACACGCCGACTTTCTCCAAACTGCGAGAAAGCAGGTGTTTATACAACTTTTGACGGGAACCTTTAGCAAGTAAATTATGAGTTAAGGCTTCCTTCAATCTTATTTCAGTGTTTCGCATCAAATTGTGAAGTATTTCAGGTTTGGCTGATAATTATGCAGCAAAATAATCATTATTTCAGAAAAAATAGCGGAATTGAGAAATACTGCTTCATGTCCACATGCCCCCACCGATCGTCGTGTCTTCCTCCTTCCTGTAGTCACACATGTCCATGTCTCCTCCCCTCCCACCCCCCATCCCAAGATAAATAAGTATGTAAAACAAAAATATTTGCGGTGTGGTGACTGTCTTTTTAGATGAATCCAGGCTACTCTGTAATATCTGTCATTAATACCATAAAATTTAAATCTATCACAAGTTGAGACTTGGAGGTTTGAAATAAAATTAAATAAAATAAAATAGTGCATTTGTCCACTAGATCAGGGGTGTCCAGAGTCGGTCCTCGAGGGCTGGCCTCCTGCACATTATAGTTCTCTCTCTTGGTAGTGAACAACCTTTTCAGCATGTCGATGTTAATGAGCCATCATTTGATGCAGGTGCGTTAAACCAGGGAGAGAACTAAAACATGCAGGACGCCGGGCCTCGAGGACCGACTTTGGACACCCTTCATTTACCAAATGGACCGTTTCCCAGAGCAGCCGAGATGTTAGATCTGGTTTTGCCAAGTCTCCTTTGCTCACATTTGATCCCAGGCAGAATAAGTGGAGGTGATGAAGAACATCAAAAGCTGGATGTCTGAAAATGTTTTTATTTTATTCAAATATGGACCTTGGTTCTGATCCAGAACTTGTTGTTTAATGTAAATAAACGGAACAAAATGGCAGCGGAGACGCTTTAAAGCAGTGTATTTATGGAGCGGTGAANGGCATGAACTGGAAAATCAAAATGATTAACTTGACAACTTAAAGTTGAGACTGAATTATTGAATAACTTAAAGTAAACAAAGATAATAAATCAAATCCAGTCATTTGATGTAAAATGTTAATAAGTTTAAAAATAATACCTGATAGATTTCCTGTGAAATATGGGAAAATTCATCAATTGTCAACATGTGATTGTTTGGGGTGGGGGTTTGGAGGAGAGCTTTTTTTATGTTTTTGAACTAAATATACAGACACAACTTCTCATTTACAGACATCTTGATCTATTTGCTTTTTTTTTGTTTGTTTTGTATCAATTTTGGTCTTAAGTTCATGTCCTTTTTTCCACTAGCAGATGGGAACTCTGAGCCTCACGACAACAAGCTGCTACGTGACACTCTGAATGCAGTAAAACATGAACTGGAGAACCAGAAGGCTCAGCTGCACCAAAATCTCCAAGATGTT